TTGACTTGTGTTTTTGCAAAAGTAACAATTGACGTTTTTTTTTTTGGTTTGGCATCTCTGTTTTAATATAGAGTTAGAAAATATATATATTGTTCATTTTTTTTTCTTGAAGCCTCGTTCTCCCAATGTATCCAAGGCGGGGAGGGTGAGGTTTATTCTTTCCCCAAGGGTGAGAAACCTTTTTCATTTTTTCCAGAGCTGGGGAAGTCCTGGGAAGTGGGGTCAGGAGGGGTAGGGTAGTATAGGAGGGAAAAGTTGGGCTGGTACTCCCTAGGCTACCTACTTGTGGTGAGAAAATCTTGGGCAATTGTATCATGTTGTGACAGTATTGCCTCAAATATGGTCATTTTTCAGAAAACAGAAAATTGCATTTTGGATTTTTTTTTCTTTAGTTTGAATCAATAATACGGAAAGAAAGGTACGCTTTTGTGATTCCGGTACTATATTATGTCTGTTAAGTAATGAGTACGTAATAAAATCTAGTATCCCACCGAGCCCTAGCCCATGTTTTGCCCTATTGAGTTCTTGGGTTGTTGTTTCCACATGACGTTTGTACTGGTACATGTGTGACTCCTATTGCAACAGCTTGTACACTAGACTTCACAGTCTTTTTGTCACCCGCCTGCCACCCAATGTCAAAATTGTTATCCTCCAGCAAAGAAAAAAAAAAAAAATTTGCACAAATCTGTTTGGAAAAGTGTTATAGTAGTCAAAAATCATCTTGGCCTTCAAAGTGATCCCAAACCCCTTAGAAACATAGGTCATCCCATGTCAGACCAACACACTTTTTGACCTGAGGTCTTCAGATTTTGATAAAAATTGCTGTGCTTGTCGACATCAGTGAATAATAAATACTTGCCAAGTTTTAGCAGAATCGGCACTTTCATGTGGTCAGGGCAAAGATCAACACAAATGGACAGTTTTCACTTAAAAATCAACCCTTTTAGTCAAAATGATACGTAACCCTCTCGTGGTGGAGCAGGAAAGGTGAGTGAAAATGACACTTCAGTAGCCTGTTTCTAGCTGTTCCGCAGACAAAGGTTGGGACAGTAGCTTGCGTGCTCACCAAAAAAAGGGTGCAATGGCAGATACTTGCTGCATGAGCAATGGAAGTGATCACGTTACTCTGAAGTATGGTCACTCTCTCCCTATCATGAGTGCAGCTTGCAGTGATTCACTCGTCAGAAAAATGCCTGTTTCTACAGGTATGGTTGGCAACCATAAAGTTTCCGTTCTATACAAGATAGCGGATGTAGCGGTGTTGTGGTAAGACGCAATTTTGTGTCACCAAATAAATTTACCGGTGATGCGAAAACTTGTGTACTAATTGATGAAACTGTTAGGAATCTTAGTTACTCTTCTGGTTTAACACAAGCTGTGCGTATGGATAATCCCACATATGACTTGATATTAGGAAACATTGCAGGTGCAAGAAGTTCAGAAGATCCAGGTGAATCTTGGTCAGGACGTTCAACTCCAGTATGTGCATTTCAAACGACGTCACAGATAAAGGAGCAGAACAAGCCATTTTGATCACTGAAGATCCCCGACCTCATGAGGTAGATAGTAACAGTAGAGAAACTAAAGGTTGCACAAGAAAAAGATGAGTTGCACAAGCAAAAGATGAGACACTCTTACGAGTTAGGGAGCTTGCTGAAACCAAGACTGAAAAGGTTAGCTGTAACCAAGGAGTTTCTAACTTCTTTTACCCAAATGGCCTTTTGTACAAAAAGTTTTACTCTCCTGTTGAACATGGCGATGTGTTCTTCCTTCAATCATTTATTTAATGAAGTACTTCATTTACGTCAAAGTGATCTAACAGTAAAAATAAAAAGAACTCAAGGAAATGTAAGAATTATTAGATAAAAAATGTGTTTAATCAAATAAGATTTTGTGTGTTAGACAAAGTTTGGGAATATTGATGTTAATGAAAGAATTTGAGAGTTAATAAGAGAAACTGAGAATCTAAAAGAAACTGAGAATCTAAAAGAAACTGAGAATTGAAAAGAAGAGGTTGGAAGGGGAGTTCGAATGTTAACTGACCAGAATTTAACCAAGATGTTGAGACTTTAGAGAGTAAAAGAGAATAAAGAAAAGATTCAGATTTTGAGAAATTGATATTACCAGGAGATGTTACAAATTTAAGAACAGAAAGTCAAGAGAAGTTAACAGCAGAAAGTGATAATCAAACATGAAAGATCTGTAGTTTTGAAAGTTTGAAAGTTTTCGGTAATTTGAAAGAACTAAAGGAGTACGTGTATTTAATTGAAGTGTAACTGAAAGATCTCAGTGAATTGAAAATTAAGAATCAGTTTCAGAGAAGTGTGATTAAGTGTGGAAGGCAAGATGAGTAAGAATTCCTGAACTTTATATATGATATTTATTGATTGAAACTGAAAATTTACCATACACAAATTCTCTCGACACTTTGGAAATTTTAGATGTATTTGATCAGGGCACATTTTAACTCATAAATACTCTCTACAGTTTGACTGTCGCATAGGCCACGAGTATATTTTGATATGTGAAAACTGCTAATTCGGTTGGCGACTTTTAAAAGCATTCTGAAAACTTTCAATTACTTCAATACGTTACAGTTGCGTGGAGGTTTTAAAAATCATTTGTTGACTACTTGTGAATAATCAGTGACAATAATAGTGGTTTTGGTGGAATATATTTTCATAATTCAAGATTGTTCCAATTGTGTTTTCATTTGTCAGTGGTCCAAAATATCTGGCGTGTTAAATCCCCTTTTAAATTGTCCGAAGAGAACCTCTAAAGTGGTTGGGGTGACAAAAGTGCTCTCTGGAGGTCGTTCAAGGATTTCTTAGTGGGCCGTCTCTAGAGAGTAACTTTTGTCGGACAAACTTCTGAGTGTTTTTTTCGTGAAGTCTGGCGTCCCAAAGGGCAGCTTACTTGGACTTCTTCATTTTAACATATTCATCAATGACATCGCCCATCATATTAATTCTGATTGTGCTTTATTTGCTGATGATATACTATTGTACCGTAAAGTTCATGCTTATTCTGATTTTTCTACTCTCCAGCAGGACTTTGATAAGCAGGGTGTTAGAGGGTTTCCCCTGATGGTACGACCTTCAGTGCTAGTTAATCCAAACTTAGGCTTTGCACATCTCCTGAAAACTACACCAATCCCTCTTCTTTCAGGTATCCCAATGACAGCTATAAAATCGTTCAAATATCTTGGGAATGCTCAGCTATCCTGAAACAATCATGTTAAATCTGTAATTATTTCCTCTGCAAATCGCACACTTGCATGCTCTCACCAAAACCGTTGCCTTCAACTATTCTACGTCAGCAAAACTCTCACTGTCTAAAGCTCTCGTCCTTCCTATGTTAGAGTATGGTGTACCTGCCTGGTTCCCTCAGACAAGAAGGCAGGTCGACAATTTGGAGAAAGTTCAAAAACGTGTGACGCGTTTTATCCGTGGCCACAAGTGTGGTGTGATGAGTTACCGTGATAGGTTAGAAACTCTGGGTTGTTTTGCCTTATCTTGTCGTTGTAATTATGCTGTTCTCTCATTTGTTTCCAAGTGTCTGATCAATATTGTTGAATGTAATCAGTGTGTTAACAATGTTTCTGTTAATTTCCGCCATGTTTATGATGTTTTGTTTCAGCACCGGCAAGCTAGGACCCAATCCCTGCATTTATCTTGTTTCCACGCTTTCCCTCATCTTTGGTCAACTCTCCCTGAACACGTTTGCATTGCTATTGTTTTACAGCCTTTTTCAATGTTTCGTCCCTCTCGTTGAAACAGTGTTCTCTTTTCATAAATTACAACCCCATATTTATGTTGTATGTACTTGTTCTTTTTAGTAAGGCTTATAATTGAGCCTCCTCTCTGCCATTTGTCAATTACATTTTATCTTATTTGTCATATATGTTTATATACATCTCCTCTCTTATACATTATACATTTTTGTATTTAGGCCCTATTGTGTCTTTATTGCTAACTCCTTATTTACTTCATTCAATAAATTTCTTACATCATTTTTATCTGTTTCCACTTTTATTAATTTCTAGTGAGTAATCTCCTTTTATTTCTGTTATATCAAAATATTCATATGTTCTAATGTTCTGTTTTATATCAAAATATAATTCATATGTTCTAATGTATTTTTATTTTATATAGTCTTACTTATATCTATTTATGTTTTTACCTTACTCTTACCTTGATGAGGAGCAGCAGGTCTTCTCATTTTAAGTACTATTTCAGCCTCCTGTTTGCCAGTTATCCTTTAGACTTTCATTACATTTATTGTACATGTACACTTACATTACTTACTGTTCTCTTACACGTGTATTATATTTAAACTACCTATAATGCCCTTATTTATTGTGTCATTATCATTAATTGCTTATTCATTGAACTTGTTTAATTTCATATTTAATTGCATACATTATCTTCATTCATTTCCAGTAATTCCTTTTCTTTTATATTTAAATTTTTTTAAGTTCTAACTTTTAGCTTCAAATACCTTTATATAATTTTATTTATATTTTATTTACTTTGTACACAACTTGATGTGGAGTGGCAGGTCTTTGGCCACAGTGATTGCTATCGCTTTTGCCTCTCCTATGCCCATCTTGTATAGGATGAGAAAGAATTGGCATGAGTAGATAATAATAATAATTCTTCCGGATTCATTACCCGCTTCCGGTCCTGCGTTCAGAAGACCCCTGCAAGACGTCTGGCTGGAGCCTACATTTACACACTGGACGAAGATATGCGTGTGGGGGGGCGCTGGGTGATGTTATGATCAGGCTAGCCTTTACTCAAAGCGCGCGTGGCTACATGTACACACGACACATACGCACGTCGCACGACTAAAACTACCAGCAATACCACGCGCACATTGAGTAAAGGCTATGTTCAGGCATGTTCTGCAGGCATAGAAACAACCTCGTTCCTAGCGTACCGAGCCTCCTGCTAACTGAAAGAGGATGTAGGCCTAGCTCATTGAAACGAGGCAGATTGACCATTCTCGATACATCGAAGAACGGCAGTGGCAATACTTACGTACATGTACGTACATGTACAGTACACGTACTTGTCGGCTACATGACTTACTTGCTTCATGCCAAGTGATGGATCCTTTTGTTGGTATCTTTGCTGTATGAAGAAATTAGGTGATTAACTATTCAATTTTTCAGTCTTCAATGACAAGCCGTATTTTTTAGGATGCCTCTCAATTTGTTTGCTTTAGAACCAATTTTTCAATGCTTGGCTACGTAGGCCCTACTAAAAAGTACTAATACTATCACGCGGTCGGAGCGGAGGTAGGTCATCAGGTCATGTATTCCATTCCGGTTCCATTAGGGCCAACTTTCCATTCACTCTATACAGCAAACTACAGGGATTTGCATGTTTTCCTCCTTTTTGCTGCAACATGATAAAAATAACTGAACTCTTTTCGGTACAGTGTGGGTGATATTCATATTCATAGTGTACAAATAGTGAAATTTCAGGCACATTTGAGGTAAAGCCAGTAATTTGTAAAGAGTTTAGGGCCTAGGCTAGCTCTACTAAGTGGAGCGTTAGTATGACGATCCCGTCCAAAATCGTTGAAGAGGAATACTAACGCTCCACAACATTACATAGAGTAAGGTGAAAACGGTTCTCAAAAATTCCAAAAACTCACCGAAAATACCTCTGTCACCACGTACTGGCTTCCGAAAATGCCAACGTCAAATGGTTGGGCTTCAGTGATATTTCTGACTTCAAAATCTGTCCAAATCCGACCGTTTTGCTTGACAAACGCACAGCATTTTTCGCTGCCTCCTAGCATTCAAAGTATACGGGCGTGTAGTTTTCCGGCCAATAACTCTATAAATGAACATGGTCCCCAAAGATGTATGCATGAGCATGCTTTACATGGTCTGGACATAAGGCTTGTTGATCGTGACCTTTGTCACTCGGTCCTTACCAACGACTTTTTCATGGTGCCTTCTCAGGATGTATGGTGAACTGTCTGCACAAATGCCCATGCAACGCATATGTAGCGAGCAGGGGCCTGTATTTGGCACCATGAAACGGTCGTTGGTTGGGACCACAAAGGTCATGATCAACAACTCTTGTGTCCAGACCACGTAAAGCTTACTCATACGTACATGTTGGGTGACTTTGTTCACCCATACAGTTATTGGCCAGAAACACTACACGCCCATATTTGAATGCGAGGAGGCAGCGAAAAGGTGTGTCGAGCAAATCAGTCAGATTCAGAAATATCATTGAAGCCCCAACCGTTTGACGTTGGCATTTATGGAAGCCAGTAGGTGGTGATAGGGGTATTTTTGGTGAGTCTTTGGAATTTTTGAGAACCGTTTTCACCTTACTCAATGTAATGTCGTGTAGCGTTAGTATGATGATCCAGTCCAAAATTGTTAAAGAGGAATACTAACGCTCCACTTAGTAGAGCTAGGTCTAGGCCCTAACGTTAGTCTGAGTAACCTGGACGCTTCCAACCCCCTAGACCTGTAAACAGGGCCCAATGTATGCTCCTCCATGACAGAGGAGTATGTACGTCTCGCCCACTTTACCGGTCTAGGGATCCCCGATTTATTTGACATTTCAGTCTTGCAAAACTGGTATTGGTAAGTCCCCCTAAAAAAGAGACAGCCTTCTCTTTTTTGCACCGACCCTGTTTTTTGGAAATTTCAAATGTGAATTGTGAGAAAATGTGACTTTCTTATTGATAAACTAACCATGCAAATTTGCATCCACCATGTGCCACGTGTTATATACACTTGCAGTTTCCCTTCAACACTTCCCTCAAACTCAAAACCCTGCCCTTTTCTGACATTAACCCTTCATGTATTTATTGAGTACTAGGCCTAGGCTAGGCCTAGTCTGAGTGACTTTGACCCTACAAATAGCCTTTTTTTACATTTGGACATGGTCAAGTGATAGTAGGGTCCAAGTACCTTCCATAGGCTTTTGCTCCGTTAATTCATTTCACTGAAAATGGCTCGTACCCCGAGTCAAATTCCTCCAATTTCACCTCTAAAACTGTCCTTAAAATACCTAATGTGCCTGTCTATAGATTAAGTGGGAATCAGAGATTCCAATAATGATATGGTTTACTCACACATGGGAAGAAAAGAGAAATGTCCCCTTCAAATCGGAAATGCTCTTGTCGATGAGCTCGAAGACTCCTTCTTTCCTCGAATAGCACTTTGAACTATATGTTGATGTTCTGTTGACGATGTCATGGCGTGCCGGCCTAGTGGACCATTCACAGAAAGCATGCTGTTAGCACACACACGTCGCTGCTTGTTTCCTCAGCGGTGCCAAGTTTGGTGGCTGTGACCATATCCAATCTGTACATTGAACATTACGCTGCTCAGGAAACAGTACTGGTAGGTCCCATTGAATTTTGCTTAAGGGGCTCCCCTGGCAGAGGCAACAGCACTAGCGCTTTTTCGCCGGCTTTGAAGACACAGACTTCGGACTTCTTGTCGGCTATAGACTTCATATCAGACTTCACCCGCTGAGGTGTTCTTGTGCCACACATCGTGGAGTCAAATCATGGAGCTATTAAACACAAGGAGTCAGTACATACAAAGATCAAAAGGCTCAATGATGGCCACCGCCAGCACTGCGCATGCTGCAAGAACAAAACAAATTCTGCGCTGCTTGTAGGCTATAAGGAATGCTCGGAGTTGCATTTGCAAAGGATCGTGGGTACCTCGCATGCGTGTCCGTAACACTTCCACATGTTGGCTGCCTTGAGATGGAAAACACCGTCATCGGAGACATAAAATTTTGATAATTTTAGTGATTGTTGTGATATTCCAATGATAATGAAAGTCTGGTTATGTCTTTACATCCCCAAGACGTTGTTTTTAACAATAAACAGAATTACTAACTAATACAAATTCTCCAAAAAATACGCACAAGAAAACTGAGAGAATGTAGCTGGTCCAGAGTAAAATAAAAACACACAAAAACGTGGGAGGATTCGTTGTCCTTTCTGTCATTGCCCGCAACTGTCTCAGCATGAAACCTCACCACGTTGTCTAATGCATCCCTGCGGCATGTTTCCATCTTCTTATAACCATAGCAACCACTAGGATTGCGACTTATAATATAAATATCGCAGTTCATATTTTGGGTTTTTGTTCTCTACCGCCGGAAATGCAAAATGTCATAACTGACTTTAAAACGTCCGTCTTTTGCCATATAACCACTGCTGATTTTGAATTTCTGAGCGCATCTGCGGAGATCACTCGCTGACTCCTGAGGACTACTGAAGAGAACTGCGCATCTTCTTTGTGCATCCTTTCCACCATTTATTTACTCCAGTATGCCGCAGCGAAACACGGCGAGTCTGTGGGTTACCAGCTATCTGGCGGTGGCGATCATTGTATACAAAGAATGTCTACGGTCTTCAACACTGGGGCTGGTAACCATGCTTTGTCTGTGGAGTCGACCGGAGCAGTTAATCGGATTACGGTTTGTAGGGACTTTGTTCTAACTCCTTGTGTTTGATAGCTCCATGGTCAAATGTACAATGTACATTCATGTACTTATGTATGGTACGTGTACAATGTACTTGTATACAAAAGCAGGTAAATTAAAGAGGGTACTAAAAAAGCCTAAAATCTCACTGAAGTCAATAGGCTTTTATATTAAACCAGGCAGGTGGTGGTGGTGGTCATTGACAAGTACCGGTAATTATCTGTGTTTGATTCATGCTACATTGTACGTAATTAGTCAGGTTGGCATGGTTCTTCCCTCACCTTTCACCCCTGAGACCCAGAGTCATACATGTACATGTATACTGCCCAGGCTGGTTTGATTTGTTGGGTCTCCCTCCCACAAACATTGTGTATTCTCAAATGGTTTAACTACGGTGCCTGGGTCACTTCTGAGGAATCCTTGGTTTTGGTGAGTGTGGTGTGTGTACAGTACATGCTGCCAAACAGCCTACTGCACATTAAAATGTAAAATTTAATGAGCCGCTGCAGGTCTTACTCAAGTTTTTTTTTTTTCCTTATATTGCAATTCTGATGAAATCTGAAACTGATCATGACGTACATGTACATAACTTTTCAAAGCTGTTGTTGGCAGCAGGCCAGACTGTAGTGACTCTATGCGTTATCCACTCTCTACATGTGTGCATGTATACAGGTACATGTATGTGTGCATGTACAATGTACTGGTACATGTACATGGTTGCATGTACCTGTACCTAGCATTTTTTACAGGTACCTTGGTCTGCCTGTTTCAGCTCGGAGGGAGGGGGGGGGGTTTCATTACAGTCAATTACAATTGAGGCCCCTGATGCCAATTATAACAACAACAGCTTAACTACCTGTATTTTGTGTTTCCTTTCAGTGTTTTATTTTGTTTTGTATTTTAGTACGAACAGTTGAAGAACTGTGATGCTATAATGACAATAAAGTAAATGGTTTTTCCTTTCCTTTTCCAAGATTTACAGGTACTGTTAATTATTTTGCTGAAATGAAATTTCAAGGAATGTCTCTACATTTTTCCACATTAGGAAAAGCAAGAGTACCTGTACAAGATATGCATGAATACTGTGTGTGAATCCGTTCATCAGCTGAGAGCTTCTTAATGTCATGGATGAGGTCGCCGTTGAAAGTTGACTTTCTCATTTCCGACTCAACTAATGAGAAGCTTGGTAGAGTATGGACAGCTGGAAACCAAACCCCAGGGCCCCACCATTCATTCCCAGGAAACACACACACATCTGTTCCAGAGGGCAGTTCTTCAGAAGACTGGGCTCCAAATTTTTTCAGGTACATGTACTAATGTACACGTTCAACATGTTTTCTTTTTTAAGGATTTAAGTAAATGTAATTTCCACATTTTTTTTCTAAAGAATATAGTGAAGGTTTCCGTTCTTTTATGAAAGAACCCCAGAGTGAGGACTTACGGATACTATGTACATGTACAGTATCAATTTTGTATCAACATGGAGTCAGTGAGCAATTTCCCCATGTATCGTATCGCAGTTTGCGCTGTGTTTTGGACAATCTGTGATCCATTTTAAATGTTACTTGTACACCACAGTTTTGCGGTGTAATTTGCCGTAAAGTTTTTCATTCAAACAAATAAAAAGTCTTCAAAACTCGCAGATTACATTGGTGTTTATGTACGGTACATGCATGTGTACATGAAACTCACAGAGTAACAGTTACGTAGTCAGCAGATCATTGGTGTGTCATGTAAATGTGTATACACGTGTGTGTATGAATGGGTGGTCATATACCACAGATAGGCCACTTCCTTGATGCGGACTATCTTGTACAGTATTTACAAACTTTGTTACAAAGGCAAGGATTTGTACAGTCTTAGAAAAAAGATCATCAAAACAGAAATACAGTACACAGGACAGATTAACTTTTTCTTTCTAATCTTCATGAAATATTTTGCTAATTTTGATAAGTTTCAACAGTGCTCGTGAACTTGCATGTATGTGTACTGCACATGTACATGTATGCATGTGTACATTGCTGATTTTGGTCCCATTGCGACTCATGTGCTAAGCAGTGGTTCTCGGGACATTTACATCCACTGTACATGTACAATATGGAAGGAGATGAACATACATTATGTGTACTGTACATGTACGTTGAAGAGAATGCACAATAATTTTGATGTTGCATGGGTTTATATCTACATGTACCGGTACATGTACAAGTGTAACTTGATTTTAGCATTGAAAATGTTGGTGTTTCGCTAATGTTAATGAGATCCTACAAAGGTGCGTGTAGCCTACAGTACATGTACTTGTAAATGATGGTAACAGTACAGTATGTTGAGATACCATGTACATATACATGTACATGTATGAGATCCCACTGTAGTACATTCAGATAATGTCATTAATGATTAATTTGCCAGGTATTCTGTGCATTACACGTAAATTGATCAACTGTGGAACAGGTTGGCAGGTTGGTAATTAGCAATTCAATGTGGACATGGAGTTTGTTTCATTACAGCTAGCGGTGTCAGTCATGTCAGTCCTTAAAAAAAAGACACAACATGACACGACTCAACTCACGAAAAATTCTGAAGAATATCACCAAACATATAAGTGTGGTATTCTTTGGATCATCTCAGGGGGCTAGTTTTACTCTTTGTACATGTACATGTATACCACTTGAGACAGTCAATGTTTGTGTACTGCTGTTCAAAAAAGAGACTACTTCAGCTTGCAAGTTCAATTTGTTATTTCTAGTTTACCTCATAAAGATGGTACATGTACATGTTATTGCCTTTGCACAGCTTTTCATTATACACCTCACGTTAGTGTGGTGTGTCTAGCCAGAAATTTTGGAAAAGTGGTATTGGAAATGTATTTTTGTCAGTTTCCTTTCTCTAAAGCACGAATTTCTATCTGTAATTAAAAAGAGAAGGGAAATAGAATAATGGCCCTTATTGTGGTAATTAATATTGAAGAGGTACAAGTTCGTTGTTTTTTAAAATTTCTACATGCCAGGCATGACAGGAATAGATTACTGAACTGTAACCAAATATTGAGGGCACACTGTCTGCAGTTTACAGTCTACATTTGACCTCTTCGTAACAAGATGGACAGTTTACACTGTCCTGCAGTGACCACTATGACAGGCCACATGCTTGTAATTCCACAGAGCAGAGCACATGTAGAACAAAGTTGAATGACTGAAGTAATTGAGGCAAATTTATAAGTCATTCTCATTCGAAGAAATGAAACACTAAGAAGCATACGTACCATGACTGATTTCTTGGGAATGGATTGATTCAACAGGAAATGTCATACGTATTGATGTGCATTAGTGAACCATGTCCCTAAGATTGCCGTCTTTGGAATTTGAATGCTTTTGATGAGCATTCTCTGTACACGACTGTGCTGGTAATGTGCCTCTTGAAGTTGATTATTGCCATTCACCAAAATTGCGATGTGCTCATCAAGATTTAAGCTACATTTACATGTACATGTACCACTTGATAGATTATTTAAAGTTTGCTGTTTAATACAAAATGTACCAGTAAACAATTTTTTGTAGATGTGAATGATTGCTTTAAATTGTATTAATTTTAGTCTAGGCCTGTGCTGGGTGCCGGTTACCGGGGTACCTGCCCTTCCATATTGAAACCCGGTTCCCTTTTTTGGGGGCTGGGTACTAAAAAAAATTCCACACATAAAATGTACACTTAAACAGCGAAGGGCAGAATTGCTGAAAATCATTGTGCCAATGAGAAACCCAGTCCCGTGGTTATAACGCTGATTCAGAGATAGATGGAGGTACTTTTTTTACAAATTAAAGGTAACAATTTCATTGAATAAAAACGGTACATGTACAGGTACATGTAGGAGAGATTCTCATCTAACATTTAGAACAATGTGCTGTTTTCTACGTACCAAAAGAGAGCACTGTTTGGGGCATTTTGCTGGGATTGCGCGCAATGCCATTTGTTAGGTACTCTTTATATTTTAAGGGTACCCTGGCTGCTGCGTACCCGTAATGTGCAATTCATGTACAATGTGTTTGTGTGTAGAAGCCATAAATGACTCAGTATGCATATGTTCTGTGAATTCCTTGAATACATGTATGCTGTACACGTGCTGCACATACATGTACATACAGTGTACATACATGTGACACATGTGCACCTATAGTACATGTACATGTATGCTACTGTATGCAGTGTTATTTTTTTATGTTTTATTGTTTATGAGTGTGCATTGCAGACAATCACAGAGTACAATGGCACATGCGTACATGTAATGGTCGTTTGGTATCGTTGAATTACCCGCTACTTACCAAGTGTGTAAACAAAATATAAAATTGCCTTGAACAGCGTACTACATGTACTTAATTTTGTGGGCATAAGGGTGTAGATTTGATACGTGTTGGGGGTTTAAGTATCCAGTACTTTAGACTCTGATGAAATTTGGTCCCTTCCTTGTATCTTGGTTGAACGTTGACAATCTTAACTTACATGTATGTTTGTACAATAGGCCTACTAGTACTACCAGTGAGTCCACATTTTGGGAGTTTATATTCACACTACATTTAGCTGGTCGCGTTCTTTGCCACCCATGCAGTCCATATACGTACCATCCATGTGTCAGTCTGGGAAATGTTCACGACTACTCGAGAGAGGCACACATATACTGTACATAGAGTTGTAACCATGAAATAGCTGGGGGAAGGGGGGGTCAAATAAAAATTAACTAAGTTTGTTGAACAAACTTGTTGGATATTTTCTGACTTTTTGACTCAAAAAGTAATAAGTGGGAGTCAGTGTGTGCCTGGCTTGTCTTAATGTCCCAAGCTTCACGCAGACAATGTCCCTTACCTGTGGCTGGGGATGTCAGCATCTAGTCTCAAGATCCGGTCGTAAATGAATGTTTATGACCAGCCAAGCACATATTTACCCATGTCCAACTGTCCTGTTGAGTTTTGAAAATTGAAAAAGGTGAGGGGGCTATTTATCATTTACACGTAGCTAGTAGCCAAGATACTAAGCTTACCGTTGAAAATAAGTTTTCGTGATTGATTGTTTAAGTTTGGTTTTTCTTCAGGTTAATACATTTTGTATGGGTGGTCCTAAACTTTTGCAAATGACTGTATTGACCTGTTTTTCCTCATTTTGCTTTTGTTTTAGTTTTTTGGCTTTTTTGCAAGTTGCAAAAAAGGCATTACTTCTGTTGTGTTTTTTTCTTCTGCCCCAAATCCCCTTTGTTTTGTACATGTATGTTTCTTCCATCATCGACTTTAATTCCTTAGCTATTTTGGATCTTCATCAAACTTACATCAATAAAGGACCCTTGTGTATAGATGGTCTTAGAACAATGACATCATGAGTTTGTTCGAATCGCCTGAAAATTGACGTGGATGATGATTTTTACCCAGTTCACACATGTGTGGGCCAATGACAACATCATGCCAGAAGTTATAATAAAAACTTTTTTATTCAAAATTCGCTAAAAAATCAACCAGATTTAAGCTTGAACTGTTAATTAGATGATAGTTAAAACATTCAAGTCAACTGCATGGAGTTCATAAGTGGTGTACTTAGAAGTAGAAGTTGATGAAACGCTGACAACAAAATCCCCTTACAATATTTGCGGATGAGAAAATCCCATTCGTATAATGTGTATTGGCTAGTGTGTGTGTGGATGCATAATATCTGTCTGTAACATAAGCAGCGCACAGTGCATATGGCATATGCTCAGGAGTTGGCAAATTTCCAAGCACATGGTGCTGAGAGCAGATTGCATTGTATGGAATGCTAAAAGGAAAAATGTTTAAAATCTCTATTCTGTGCTCTTTCCACGATAACAGTGTTTTGTATTGTATTTTTTGATTGGGTTGAAACCTTGCAGATATACAGTATGTAGTTAGGAAGGTTTATAAACGGAGATTGAACTCATGTGATGACAATGTCATCAGCAGACGAGTCACGTGACATTAAAGGTGCATCCTTTAAAGTACTGTAACCCTTGAAATGCATAGCTGATTGGGTTCAAACTTGGCAGGTATTTAGAAAGGGAGGTGTTACAGACAAAATTGACCTGATGTGACGATGATGCGATCAAATGACAAGTCATGTGACATTAAAGGAGCACTGTTTAAAGCCCTATATCTCCTGAAGTACATATCCCATCGGGTTGAAACTTTGCAGCTAACAAAAAAAGGAAGTGTTCTAGATGAAAATTGACATGATGTGATGATGGCGTCATCAGATAAGGAGTCAAGTTACCGGTGTATTGTACATGCAGTACCGGGCCTCGTGCTACATTGTACATGTAGAGTTTGTAATTACATGTGTAGTAGTGGTACATGTAGATGTATAAATTTTGATTATGGTGGACATATACTGTACAATAGACCCACTAGTACCGGTACATGCTCACTGTATGGTTATGTACCTACGTGCACATGTACAGTATGTACATGTACTGTACAGCACATATTTACCGGTACCTCTTTCATTGATCAATATTCCACAGCTCCAGTAATGCCAGTTAAGTGCTGTATTAGTACACTTAACTTAATCACAGTTACATTCAATTTAAATGTGATTGTTCACACAGCCTGAAAGGGGATTAGTTATTTTCTTTTCAGTATTACCAGGGCGGATGGAGGATTTTCCCAAAGGGGGATGTGCTTCTGGATTTTTCAAAAGGGCAAGCGTTAACTAAAGCAGCAATGGTAAATTGCCTGCAAGCGTGCAGCACGAAGCCCTCGCGGCGTGGGGTCTGGGGCCATTTTGGCTTCTAGGCTCTCTGTGGTGCAATTTCAAGCAGTATGACCCCTCTGTTATTCTTCTCCCTGCCAGAGTTGTTGACTCAAGTCAGTGACTTGGACTCTAGTCAGACTTGAGTCGCCAATTTTTTTGACTTGCGACTTGACTTGACTTGTGGGTACATGATTTGAGACTTAACTTGAGGGAAAATGACTTGAGATTTGACCGGATTTGAGACAGAATGACTTGCAACTTGACTCGACTTGAGAAAAAATGACTTGTTGATTAGTCCCTGCCACTTTTCCTTCTTTTCTTTTCTATTTATTTATTTTTGGGGGAAAAAGGGGGAGGAATGTGTGTCCCCCAATTACCCCAATTACATGTATACAAATAAACATGTACCAAATATTTTGTGGTTGTGAACAAACTTCCTGGCCTGTATTGTTAACAAGCTATCAACTGTAGTAAGTCAAAGTGTGAAGAGGTGCTTCAAACTTATTTACAGATGTTGCCATCATTCAAGAATTATCACTCATTTGATATTCTCAGAGGGACGGCAAATGCCGCCAACAGTAGTTTGGTTATAATGCAGTCCACCTGCTTTATTCTGGTCTGTAGCTTTCGTTAGGCATGCATCAATATTCTGAGACTGCCAGAACCATGTATTAGGGCTTAGTGTTGAAATACTAAATGATTTGCAGACATGTACAATATATGTGTGCAAGTTACAAAACATGCCGTACATAACGTATACCGGTAATGTACATGTACATGTATACTGTCGTTGGCCAAACTGTTTTAATTGATTACTGGCTGTAAAATTACGAGTCACTTCAGTATATTTTGGACTATTTTTCCAATTTTGTTTGAACTGTTCTATCGGTGTTACAGTGAATGTGAGTTTTCTCATCTTGCAGCAGTGCATTTTGTGCGTTTTGATGTAATTGATGTTATATTACTCTACATGAACTCGTATCTCTAAATTGTAATTTCATTCTCATTAAAAAATTATTTTGAGATGTACTTTGCATCTGGAAGATGTGTACAGGTTTTTTGCCCTTACACCAACATACATCTTGAAATGGTTTCGTGGTACCTGCTTCTACATCTATGTGTAAATCAAATCAAATTGATCTCACTTTATTTCCTTGTAGGCCTGCGACTGAATATTGGATATATACATGTAGTGTATAGCAGAAGAATATATATAATAGAGATGTGGAGGGATCCCATAAAAAGCAAAGCTTGTTGAGAATGGGAACCCTTTAAACAGATGTCTTCAAGTTGCATGGGTGAGAGATTTTAAGAAATCATTAATGATGATAATGCCTTTTACATTATCAAAAGAGAAATATTGATCCATAAATACATACATGTAATCAAGAGTAGAAAATAAAGGCAAGGTTTTCATGAAATTTAAGACTACCAAATTGAGATCAAGGGGAAATTCCAGTGAGAGTAAATGTATGCATCAAAGTTCCAGCTCAAATAGTGACTTACAAAGAAAGCTTTATATTGCTTCTTGAGGGTTGACGGGTGTTCTATAGATTTCAGTTCTGGATTGGGGTACATCATCTTTGAAGAATTGATACATGAAAATAGCAAGCTGAAAAAGGTAAATGCCATCAACTTTTAGAAGTTTGTACTGACTTAACAGTGGATCAAAGTGAGCCAGGCGACCTGAGTTTGAGGAAATACGAGCAGCTGTTTTTTGGAGAAGAACTCTATTGATGAGCTGTTTAGATGCATTGCCCCATGCTATAATTCCGTAATTAATATATGAAAGAATTAAAATACATGTACTCTGTAAGTCTAATTTTGGAAAGTAAAAAAGGTTCCATTTTATTAATGATACCAACATTTTTGAAATAATTTTACATATGTAATCTATGTGTGCTTTCCATGAAACTTGTAATTTACTGTCGATATAAAAGCCACGGAATTTAGTACTTTTGACCTCATTGATTTTGTTTTTATCAATACAAATATCCTTTGGTAAGTTGTTTTTAGAATTGCTGAATAAAAGACAACTGGTTTTGCTAATATGAATTATTTTAATAATACCGGTACATATGACTCGCAATGGGCAGCTGATGCTGGTAAACTCTGTGGTCAAGTGGTCAAGACGTCTGCACGAGTAAAAAGGAGGTCGAGGGTTCGAGTCCCGCCCAAGTCAAGCACTGAGAATAAAGTGTTAATCGAGATACATGTACATGTATGTTGCTGTAAGGGCAAAACCCGTACTTAAAATTTTAAAATTACTTTTACCTTTTTGTAAATCAGACATTTTAAGTTGTTTGACTTGTTTGATACCGGTATTTTAAAATGAATAAACCATCTAAATAACGAGTATCATTATGGGAAATGAGTACAACGTTATTGGTCCTTTTGTTTGACTTATTTTTCAAAAGGAGTCAAGTCGGCTGGAGGGCAAATCAACACACAAACAAAAGAGTCATTCCCTTACCTAGCTTATTATTATTTGTTATTTGTATCAAATAAAAGAAAACTTTCCAAAAGAATGGAAGTAATAGGTACAGTAGGTACATGTACAGTGTACATGTATTATTTCCACTTCCATTTTTTATGATTTATCAAAAATTACATGTGTCCATGTATGGATACATAGTAATGGAATGACAGATTTTCACTTTCATGAATGTGGAATTGTGTTTATGCCTTGGCACCAGTAATTTTCCACTATATGCACCTCACCTTTAACTTAATTCTGTTTACTTTTGAAGAAGACATTGCAGGTTTTTTTTGTCTTCTATCTTTAGTTTCTTCTGGTTGGGGTGCTGATGACTACAGTCATCATCAATATTCTGTTCATTGCGGACACTGGGCGAAGGCTGAGAGAGGTGCAATCAGAGGGTAAGCAGTATGCTTTTTAAGAATACATGGTGTACTGTCATAAACTCTATCAGTTCAGCCAAGTATGGTCTAGAGTATCTCAGGTGACTGACGGTACGTGTACATACAGTATATATCGTGTACAGTTTCCATAAACAGGGCACATTCTATAAAATTGGAGTCTAATTTTTCCTGTCCCTGTTACATCTGATAAAAGATGTTGTAAATTTAGAACACATTCATTAATTTCAAAGCGTGATTAAGTAATGCAAATTACCAGCCAAACAAATGAAAATACATGTGTTTGAAATCAATTTTGATGATACCATGATTTCATATTTCCACAGTCCAGGTATAACAGGGCACAAACAGATGCCAAACGTCAGATCCCTAATTTATTGAATGACCCGTTTTCTTTTTCGTGTAACATTGACCCAAAAGAAATTATTCTTGACTTGGCACCTGTAGTTGTCAATCATGTGAACTGTAATGGTCATTAACCCTAACCGATGAGGCCCTTTTGGCCAGGATACACCCTCAATCCTTCAAAATATTCCAACTGCCAATATAGATGGATCCCAATACGACGCCTTTAGCGTCGATCTGCGCACTTCCGCATTTGAAAACAAGGCTGTATGTGTCAGCTTCAATTCTTAATACCATCAGACGATTAGAAGTAAGGAGTCAAGACACAAAATACATAAAGGCATGTTAAATTCAGACTTTTCAGGCTGTAGATTTTTGTGGAAGAGTCTTTCAAGATGACTCGACACGTAAAATCAAAAGAAAAAGTAACGACAATTGACTGCGAACTAACGAACCAGCGATGGTCGTGTATCTTATGCAGTGGGCGTGGTTTAAACTGAAGTGGCGTCACACTTACGAACCGGATACTCCATGTACTGTGTGGACTCCGCAGGTGCGCGCAACAAAGTTCAACACAAAGAGCCTCGGTTTCGATGCAGATATGCGCAGACTGCGCTAATGTGAAATCCCTCTATTAAAATATTGGACACAGCCTGAGTCCTACAAAATCCTCCAGTATTTCTTGAATATGTTCTGTGGATAGGTGCCCACTGCCTCAATCCTTCAAAATCCTCCATTAATTCCTCTTATCATTGTGAGGCATTGTAAATGGTATCCTGGGGCAATATGGAGGATTCATGTACATGTATAATGTGGGTAAGAATTTATGCATGGCTGAACATAAACAACACAAGGTCTAACCCACAACCTTGAGACAGTGCATCCTTTGCAATCAGCAATGCATTTTTCCCATGCAGCCTCAATCCTTCAAATCCTCCCAAATCACCTGGAGGATTTTGAAGGATTGAGGATGGTGAGGGTTAATAGTGAATCCCCAATTTACCCCATTGGGATAATATCATACTCGAGGAAATGATAAAACCAGGATCAGGCCCACACTTTTTTAGGGATGAACTCAAGTTCTTCTGCAGAGTTCCATGGTACAAGTGACTCGCTAACATGCTAGATGAGTTGCATTGGAATACCAACCAGCCTTTGTCTGTTGGTTTGTTTGTGTGTTTGTAGAATATCTCATTATCCATATACATACACAAATAGAATGCTATACCTACAGGTATTTTTGTTTCATAGATTGCCAAAGAGGGTCACATCATTTGAATGGGATGCTCATCAGCTCTAAACCAATGTACATGAATTCAGGGTTTCTGTGGCTTTTCTACTTGCAGAGTACAAAATTCAGGATACAGTATATAATATATAACAGTATTTTTGTGACTTTGGTTCTGAGAGGAACCTGTGAAAACTCAGTAATTTGGAAAGCATCCTCTGCCTCTCAAGGAGACTGATGGATTGCAACTTAATGTGAGAACATGGGTTCCTTGTTGGCTTGACAGGATGAAGTAAGTTTGAAGGAATGGAAGCAATGATGATGTATGGAGGTCTTAAAGTTGAAAGTTGATACAAAGAGTGGACAGAGTTGCTGTACTCGGTTGTGTCCATTTCCTTATGAGACAATATGGGCTCTCAGAACATAAACTCACAAAAGATTCACTCTTGTGATGTCACTGCATATTTACTGTAATCACAAAGACTACCTCAGTGACTTCCTCATTCAAACCTTCAAATCTTATTGGGCTCATAATTTCATTTATGTCATTTTAGAAAAAAGTTGTCCATGAATGATATTAATGATTTTTCATTTTAACTAAACAGGGTCAAATAAAAATTATGTACGTGAACATGTACCATACAATATCATACATGGTTTTTTTTATCAGGAGGAGCTCAGGATGAAGCACTGGAGACAAATTTGCTGTCTAATGGCAACACATTTGAAAAGCTTTCCCGCCAACTAGAAATAGAGGTCCTCTCTAGTGACAAGAAAGCTGCAATCTCTGTGGGGGGTACTCAGGTACTGTAATCTTATTTATTTGGAAGACATGGAAGATGCCAATGTACACTTCTATTTTCAAGTAATTTTTCTTATGTTGGGAAATGCAATGCTGATTCCTCTTCTGTGTTGTTAACAGAATGAGACAGGATCTTCATTCAGCTCTGAGGCAGAACTTTATGTTGTATATGTATTACTGTGCAGTGCATTTTTGTTTTGTTTTAGTGAATGACATACTTTCACATACAATACATATACATTATTGATATCAGTCTCAGTATAGTACATATACAGTACATGTATG